GAAGATAGAAGAGCTTCGGCAATCTTTGAATAGGTACAAGAAAGTTCAGGACATGGTGATATTGGCTCAAGGTAAAAAAGGTATTGTACAATCAAAAAAAATATTAAACTCTACTCTCATTTAAACTCTAGGTGCATTGTGGTAGTGTTATATTGACTCCTAGACTTACTATCTTTGGAGGCATCTCTTAGGTAGAGTAAAAGCCAGTTCTTCAAATGTTGTGAACTGGTATGTCCAGGCAGCTGTACATTTGGTTGCTGTCCCATTTACCATCTGGTAGTTGTAACTATTACTGTCACGTTTCTTATTTCCCCCTTGTAAAATTAGTTTGAATACGATAAGCTCTTGGGCTCTTTCCATAGCCTCCTGAAATGCCTTTCAGGGCTGGCTGCTACATTAACTGCTAAAAATTGCTGTTCCCCTCTCTTGCATGTATTCCTGAGGAGGGGTTGGTAGCTGAGCAGAGCAGTGCCTGAGCAAGCACGTTCCTATGAGCCAAACCAGTGCCGCCCCAGCGGCTGCGCACGCTGTAATAGCAATGCCCGAGGGCTGCAAAAATGTCTGTAGCAAAGTGGATGCGCTGCCAGGACTGTGTTGTGATGACACGCCACGTCTTTGGCATGTAGTGAAGCCCTCACAAGCCACCACGTGCAGCATCTGTGGAATAGTTCTCCTTCCTTACCGCAGCGGGGCGCCAGGCTGGCTTTTCCTACCAGTCTTTTTTCACACACACCCCCCACCCCCCCAAAAAAAAAGCCTTCTCTGCCACCAGATAATGAGCTTAACTGTGTGGTCAAAACGGTAGCTATAATACATACCGTAACATTTAATGGTCCATTTCATATGTTCCAAGACTGGTGGAGGTTTCCAGATCCAGGAGCTTCTGATCCCCAAAGGTGATAAATGTTGAGGTGGTCATCAATTTGATGTAATTGCATTGAATACCTTATCTCTCTCCTTTCTCCCTTAAAAGAAAATTAAAAGAAACACGTGTAGAACATTACACTGAAATGGTTCTGGGTTTTCAGATGAAAACACTTAGGTGTTAGAAAATGAGCAGCTCCCTTTACAGCAATAATCCTGGCCTGGTGGGTTTTTTCCCTGCATCATCCTGTTCTTTCAGAACTCAAGTTGCATTTTGTAGGTCACTGTCCTCTGAAAGACCTGTCCCCAACAGATTTTAGACATTAGCATTCTGATAATGTACGCACATATCATGTGTGCGCAGCTTAGAAGTCTGTGTGCCACAGTGTTGTATTACCTTATGGAAACCTCCTTTGTCATTGAGTCCTCTGAAGGCCAGAGAAGGCCAACCCGGCCTTCCACAGACCTTGAATTGACCCGAGCTCGTTGCCTGAGCTTCTTTAGGACAGACAAGGGCTTGTGGCTTTTGTTGGCCATGCAAATGTTGGAGGTGGAGGACCTTCCTAGGAGAGGGATGTAGGAGCCCCCAGGGATCCTTTCAAAGAGTGAAGATTGTCAATAGCTAGAAATGAGTGAGGAGGCAAAATATGTATTTTTGTGGTGGTGAATTTACGTTTGGGCTCTTGGGTCTGCTGTCTTGGGCAAAGGCAGGAAAAGTGGAGGGCAGAGCCCCATCTGGACATGCTGCCAAGACTGGGGCTAAGACCCAGAGAAAACAGAGGTTCCTGGTGCCCCTCTTTACTTCTGCCTGGCTTTTGGGAGGCCATCGCTGTGGGGAGGCCGTGATTGCAGCAAGGAGATCCTGACCTTCGCCCCTGAGAGCGCCAGCTGATTTGCAGGACTGCATGAAAGCCCTCGACCACGGTCTCCAGCTGCCTGTCCTGTTCCCCCACAAGCACTGCAGCCTTCATCTTAAGTTTCAGGCAGACTTGACCCCCTGGTCTTTCCCTAATGAACAAGGGAAAAGAAGTATTTAGTATGAAATTCCAGAACATGGGACAGGAAATAATTACTCCAGTTTATTCAGTTTGTTGAAACTGATCCCACTAAATGCCCTGAGGGCATTTGCTGAGCTTTTTGCTGTCATATGTATGTCCTCCCTCTGCTCCACCCCTGCTATGCTGTGGTGGTTGAATTGGGAAGCGACATTTGGCAATGACTCCCCTTCTCCTATTGTAGTCTGTCCTAAAAAAAAAAATAAATCCTAGCCTCTTCCCTTTTTGGCCCATAAATGAGTACGCTGGCTGCGCCTTGCGTGGGAGCAAGGGTCATCATGTATCCAGAAGTAAAGCCAACAAGTTTCTATCTTCTCTCCCTTTAGGCAAGGAAAGTGATGGTGAAGACTTCTTGAATTCAGGGTCTGTTTCCACGGTTTTATTGGACACACCAAGTCTGACTGACCCAGAGAAAAGCCCATCCCCAACCCCAGTAACAGCATCTCCAATCCACGATGAATTTAACGTGAATATTCACGAAGAGGTATCTTTTTTTCTTCCTCATTTAATGCCATCACTCCCTGAAAACATTGCTTATGCTGGTTTCATATTGCAGACACCAAAACTCATGTTTCTGAAACGATGTTTTCTGGGTTGTACAGTTCTTAGTAATGTCCCATACCCTTTTGGAGAATGTTGTTTTCTCAAATGAAAGCTGCTGAGGCGTTTCATTTGAGTTTAGTTAAATTTCTTAATCGTCAAATGGGATCAGGAGACAGCAAATAGCTGTATTTGTCATGAGAATGGGTCTAAACTACTTTTCCTGTCAAACATAGAAATTACTTTTCATAGCAGACATAGCTGTTTTAGGGGCTGCATGTAATTTGTCAGGAACTTGAAGTAAACGTGTTGGGACTTATTTAATATATCCTGTCATATTTAAAAGGATGCAATCTTCATTACATCCATTCAGTTAAATAAGTAGGTTGTGGTCCAGTCTCTGATTTTTACAATCACATTTTCCAGTAATAAAACTATAGATCTCTTCTCTTAAAGCTCTGAGTCAGAGCAGCGACTTGGCTTACTTAACTAAACAGCATGAACACGCTATGAAGAAAACTAAATTAAATTGAATGTTCAGCAGCTTTTTGGTATTCTCTGAGTGGCTGAGGACAGGAGTAAACCTGAAAAGTGAGCTACCCTTCATGGGGTCTGTGGTAGAGATAGATTTAGCAGGCAGCTTTGGGAGACTTGTGAGATTTTTGTCTATGCTGTAGCTTATCTGTGCAGTGATTCATGTTTTATCTTCAGTGCCGTCTTTCAAGTAGTAAATCATTGTATTACAACAGAAAGAAAGAAAGAAAAAAATCACTTTTAAAAATCTTATTTCGGATCATTCTTTTCATAGTTTATCTGTTACTCTTTTTTCATTTATGACTGCTTAATTTCAGGTCAAAACAGCGTAACACGTATTCTTCATTCTTTTTAGAATTCCTTACAGATCCACACCAGTATTTTACAGATTTCAATCCCTTCTTTTTCATCAACATCCAAGAGCTCAGAAACTGTTGCAGAGAAAGTGAAAACACAGTGTAGGCCAGATCCTGCAAGTGAAATGAGGTATTATTGTTTCTGTGTATTTTTCAATTGTAAATCCAATATTCTGTGATGTTTAATGAGAGTAATAATCTGTCAGTTACTGTATCGTCAAGTCATTAAGTCAGTTAAACAAGGCTAGCATTCACTTGACTAGCTATAGCAAACTAAGCTTATGGTCATGAAGTGCATTGATTAAATCTTTTTCAGTAAGCAAGTGTTAGTTTGGTTGCTGTTGCTTGTAGCAGCACTCATACTCTATACCAGCTGCTTCGCAAGAATTGAACAGAAGGAGAGAAAAACTGATCTAATGTAATGAAGGGCACAGAATCATTATTTTTATCTAGGTTTACATCATCTAGGTCTGGCTGATACTGTTGGCTGTGCTAGCACAAATGCATTCCTGATGATTTGCATTCGGACATTTTCCACAGTTGCTAAAGATTGGTGTAAGGCACTGCCAAAACTGCAACAAAAGGACTGTCCAGCTCTAACCTTGAGCTGTTAATGGAGCCCCAGAAGGAAACCCAAGCGGCGTTTCAAAAGATCAGAGAAAGAGATATCCTTGCTGCCATCTTTTGGCATGATGAAATGCAAACATGTTTCTTTGCTCACTCTTACGAGAGCCCTGCCTGAGATTTTGAAAGCCAGACGAAATGTGTAGGCACAGCATCCCAGTGAAGCCGGGGTGGGGATGCGTGGCTGCACCCCAGGGCTGTGGCTGAGCTGTGGCACCCAGGGGCCCCCATGCTTGAACCCAGTGGCAGCCTCCTGGGTGAGAAGTGGCCGTCAGCTTCCTCCAGTGCTTCTAAGCCTGCACCCTCCTTGCCTGGGTGAGGAAACCCGGCCCCTGCAGATCTGGACTGGCACTGCAGGGAGTACTGAAAAGCACACCAGACTCGCAGCTAGACAAAGGCTGTGCTAGGGTTTTTTCTTCTGGGTCCAAATCCCTGGCTTTATCTAAATGAGTATCAAATTCTAAGAATCCAGAGGCAAGGAAATCTTGTTGGCTTAAAACCGTCATCGATCTCAATGTGAAAAATCAGTGCAAGCACAAGTTGATGTGTGATTTTTCCAGTTCCAGTCAAGGAAAGCATCCTATCCAGAAGACCAGCTTTGCTTGGTTTCTGCTCTGCTGTGCCTTATGCAGCTCTAGCCATCACCAGCAGGGATTTCATCTGTGTCCCGTCTTGGAAAAAAACAAACAAAGCACTAACCTGCAGCAAAATGCCCTGTGCTGTGGGTGACTCACAGGGAGCCAGTGACCTCCACTACTTGGTGCTGCTGCAGACCCTGCACATGCTGTAACCTCTGCATTTATTTGAACTCAATAGTGCAGTATTGTCATCAACTTACAGTGCGAGTTGTCTTTCCTGGGGCTTTTGAGCTCACCTTTGTCCTTTATCTTTTACAAGACTTGCCACCGTAGAGGGGAGAATTTGCCATGTGTTAGTACCATAATAGCTGAAGTGAAAACAGGATTAAAGTAGGCTGAGATGATAGGATTTCTGTATCAGCAAGGTATTTGGATGGGATCCCCAAATGCCTTACTTTTTTCATATCTTTTTTGTTTTTACAGTGAAGGAAGATCAACAGGTTCCTCTCCAGAAACTCAGCTGTGTGATAGTCCAGTGTAAGTATTGTAATAAAAAATGTTTAGGAAACATATCTATATGTGATTGTCGACTTGAACGCCCCCTCCCAGTGCACACCCCATATTTTACATACACATGTAAATAGGTCTCAGCTGTGTGATAGTCCAGTGTAAGTATTATAATAAAAAATGTTTAGAAAACATATGTGATTGTCAACTTGGAACACCCCCCCCCCAATGCACACCCCATATTTTACATACACATGTGAATAGGCTAGCTAATTCTAGCCAAGATGATATTTAGTGATGGTAGTTTTCTGCTCATGTCCTATGTTTTCATGATCATTATTTTTCCAATGCTTTATCTGTGCACATGTGCAGTTAATTTCTTTTACATTGTGAAGCCTCTCTAGTTTACCGTAGTACACGTGCACGTGATTTGCTTTTTTCTTTTGATAGTGAGGGAAAGGTGATCAGCTGACTACAGTGAGAAAGTAATTTTAACTTCTGCCATATATCCGTATTCCCTAGGGAAATCAGTGGGACTATTTATGAACTGGAAGTTGAGTCAAAGCAATTTGTTAGTAAGGAACCTAAGTCAACAGGGTTTGTCTGGTACACAGTGTGAGGCTCAGCAGCTGTTTTTATTTTAAGTGACTTAGTCAGTGCCACAAGAATATTCCCAAAGCCAAATTCTACTCCCCTTATGTTAGTATAAAGATAGGTAACTTTGTAAAATTCAGTGAAGTTACTCTGAATTTATACCTGGTTGCAGGAAAAACTTTAATGGTAACTTTCTTTTCAACCAGACTTAAGTGTTCTAGACTGTAAATCCCACCAGAATTTGGGGAATATCTGGTCCGAAATGGAAAATGGAACTGAAGATAAAATAATAAAACACACATGCTTGACTTAATATGCTTGGCTTCTTTAAGGATTAAATTAGTCAGAAGCCTGTTGCTAAAAATACTGTTTTTGAAAGCTTTTGTTTATATCACTTCCTTTGCTTGTGTAACTTCTGCTTGTGCTTCTGAAAATACAACATTAAATAAGAAGCCAAAAATATCCAAAGGTAGGCATCATGTCACTGAAGCATCAGCAGCGGTAATTACGATGTGGAGGTTCTTACAGTATCTCATCAAATTGTGTGGGCTCTGATTAGTGCATTGTTTGCCTTAATTCAAAATGTCTTTGGTTTTAGTATATCTCATCATGTAATTTAATGCTTTCTTTAAAGCTGATTCCTGAGAGTGTGTTTGTCTTAGCAAATTTCATTCCAGTAACTTTACTTGGTTTTTATGTTGTTGTTTCAGAACTTCTTCGCTGCAGAAGTCCAGCAGTCTGAGCAGTTTGAGAAAAGAGACATCCGAAGCGGTTGGTTTGGTCTCTTACTTCCTCCCATCCGCTTAGAAATAGGGGTGACGTCTCTTTTGTGGCAGTGACCCCATGGACGCTCTGTTGCCTTCTGCTGAGAAATTCTGAGTCAGAGTAGGGCTCCTCATGTCATGTGTTAGCAATGGTCACATACATGTGACATCTTCCAGATTTTATTAACGGAAAAAATCTGTCCTTGAAAACACAGGCGCTTTTTTGGTTTTGGGTTTTTTTTTTTTTTTTGCATGAGGCATTTACCTGAGACTCTCTTGCTATGTTTTTCCTCAGATAATGAGGGTTTGTTTTTTTTTTAGTTGATATGCTTTTCTGATTTAAGACAAGAAGAAAGTAAGCCCCACTACCACTTCCTACCTGTGTTTAAAGCGAATAATTTTGGAAGGCCATATAATTAATGCATTATAAAATACAGTTTGGCATGACTATGTTTAGATGGTTAGGAACAAACTACTGAGCCTTTGTATGCCTGGTGATAGCTTTGGTTTAGGTCTCTTTTGAAGTGACCAAAAGCAGCTAGCCTCTAACAATGTCATCAAATCAGGGCAATTCCTGTGCTCTTTCTTGACAGCCTAAACTCCTAAAAGCTCCTGAGTTCCCTGATACCCAAGCCGCTGAGGTGTGCCTTACAGCTCGGGAGGGATGTTGACAGGACTTAAAATGTAACCAGAATTTGATGATGAGAGCTAGAGTTCATGGGTTAGGGGTTTTTTTTGTTTGTTTGGACAGCCAAGAAGCAGAGGCTGTGGATGTTTTATCTGTTTAGCTTCTACCCTGACTGATTCCTGCTTTGGTTCCCCTCAGCCAGCTGTACCCATTAGTGCCTTAACAGACTGCATGTCGCTAATTATGTACACAGCTAATCCTTTATAAAGTAAACCGAAGCAGCCGTATTTTCATGTCAGCCCACTGACCTCAAAGAAAGCAAGAATTGATCTGTGTGAAATACACCTGTGAAGAGATTTATTTGGGGGGGGAAAAAATAGACAGGGAAGGGTATTTCAGTCAGAATTTAACTCAGGGTAACCATAATGAATTGAATACTGGCTTATAAACCATGACTTTTTAATTGTCTTTCTTAATCTTTCCCAAACAGGACAGAGACTCTGCACAGAAGCCAACAGAGGTAACGTGTGTGCACACTTGCACATGTACATGGAGAAACACAGTGAGCAGGTGTTGAAAGGCTCAGTTGTGTGAAATTGCAGCATGCAGTTCCAGAGGGGGAATAGCAGACCTGCAGACAAGATAGCGAGGAGTATATGATGGTTGTCACCATCACTTCAGTGTCAGGCTCATAGTGTCCCACACGTTCTTGTCTTGTCACACATGGATTATCTTTCAGTCTCGTTAAGCATAAGGTTGCCATCTAAGCTAATGTTTCTCCCACATATTCTACCACTAGATAATTAGCAAAGCTAACCATTAAGTATTTTACTGACTCTGTAATTAGCTTTGATTAGTGTCTCTTTAAAAAACTTTGGCTTTCCAAATTGTTTTCTGTGAGTAGCAACTGCATTTCTAGAAAGACTGTCATTGCAGAACAGTTACCCTGCGGTACCGTATGGCCATAGTTTGCATGCAATAATTACTACCTATAGCAAGACCTGAGCAGAGACAACATACCTCAGGTACCACTTTGCTCTATCAATTCAGCAAAAACCAAAGGATCATATTTGGACTGTGAATGGGTTTGCTTCCTCCTTTTAAAGAGACAGTGAAACAACCGGCAAGGTTAAAACTACTGCTTTAAATTGGTTAAGTGGTGTGTCTGATGTCTGTCCTGCCATTTATACTCCTTGCTTGATACTTAATTTCCTCTCAGCTTTGGCAGTGGACATAGTCAATTAATCCATTAATTCTGAAATTGCAGAGCAGTGATAGACAAAAAGAGCTGTCTAACACTTGGCAGAGAACCGATATACTGTGGGGGTCTCGTCTCTCTCTTTGCTTCGCACTGCCCCTACAGCTACCAGTGGGGGAGACAGAAACCCTGGAAAGCTGGAAAAGTTCAAAGCCTTCCAGAACTGTATTTTACCTTTTCCATACCTGTAAGCCAGCCTTGCAGAAACTGAGAAACATCTTAAAGAAGACATGTTACTCTTAGAAGGTAGTGATAGTAATCCTGGGTCCTGAACATACTGTCGTGGTTTAATCCCAGCCAGCAACTAAGTGCCACGCAGCCA